TATATAATATTTATAATAAATATAAAAATTATATAAATATAAAAATAAATAAATATAATCCTTGGAGGATGAATTATCACTCATTTCAGCAATCTCCAGTATAATAATTATATATATAATTTTGTGTGTGTGTGTGTGTGTGTATATATATATATGATTTGACATGAATGTGGATGAGTATGGCAGTATAGGACTATGTACACTTCAAAAATTATTTTGAAAAAGTAATGGAAAAGATGAGTGGAGCACATCTTTTCTTGGGCTTCCATATGAGTCTGAAAAAAGCTACAGCAGATCAAATCGTTAAATTGGTATCTTTAATCAGACTCTTAACGTAGCAGCATCTTTTTTCAGGCTCAAACCAAAGCTTAAAAAAAAGATATGCCTACTTTAATGAATAGCAGAGAGATACTGTGTTCATGTAAGGTCCAAAGCACTACTTCTGAATTATTTCAAAGCATGCACAGCCCTATATGATACCGCTTTCATTGCTCCTTAGATCTAAACGTTTCTAGGCTGAACTAGATCTATTTGTTTTCCTGGTTTTCTGTGCAAAATTTGTATCAAAACACCATTATTTAAAAGCCCTGCTTACGGCTAAATTGGCCATGAAGATAAAAGCAGCTGTTGCTTTTTGATAGTGATTTTTCACAGCTTGTAAGAAGGAAAAATGCCAAATCATGAAACAGAAAGTGTTTTGAAAGGTTTATTTAGCCTGGATGCTTATAGCAAATGGTCTGATCTCATATAATAGAACTTAGTTCATTAGCTCAGCTTGCTTCTCGTGAGTCTTCCATAGCAAACGAAAAAGCCTTGACCAACTGATACTGCTGTGCAACCAGCCAAAGACATGAAGGAGGAGAGAATATGATGGTTACAGTTCACAGTTCTTTCTCAGCAGGATCCATCATAGAGCACACCCAGTACAGTTGGATAATAATCTGACTATGGACTCTAAGTACAGTGGAGCTAAAACGTTTGTGGACACTTTTGAATTTTCAATATTTTTGCATAAATATAACTTAAAACGTGATTTGTTCTCCATACAAATCCTAAAACTAGATAAAGAGGACCCAGTTAAACAAATGAGTCAAAAATGTTATACTTGTTCATTTCTTTATTGAAGTAACTGATCAAAAGTTACATATTTGTGTGTGTGACAAAAGTTTGTGAACCTCTAGGATTATCAACTCATTTGAAGGGGAAATTAGAGTCAGTTGTTTCAATCAATGGGATGATAATTATTTAAAAAACAGAATTCTGGGTATTCACTATCAAAGTCTGATCTTCACAACACAGATATGTGGAAGTGTGTCATGGCTCCGAAAAGCAGTTTTTGATGCTCACCAGGCTGGAAAAGGTTACCAAACTATTTCCAAAAAGTTTGGACTCCACCAGTCTATTGTCAGGCAGATTGTATATAGATGGAGGCAATTCAACACCATTGTTACCCTCTCCAGGAGTGGTTGACCAACCAAGATCTCACTAAGAGCAAGATGTATAATACTCCAGGAGCTCTCAAAGAATCCCAGGGTAATGTCTAAGGCACTGAGTTATTGGCAAATGTCAGGGGTCATGAGACCACCATCAGAAGAACACTGAACAACAATGGTATGCGTGGCAGAGTTGCAAGGAGAAAGCCACTACTCTCCAACAGGAGCATTGCTGCCCATCTACAGTTTGAGAAAGATGGCATGGATAAGCCAGAAGGCTATTGGAAGAATGTTCTGTGGATGGATGAAACAGAACTTTTTGGCTTGATGAAAAGCGTTATATTTGGCGAAAGGCAAACACTGCATTCCAGCGCAAGAACCTTATCCCATCTGGGAAATGTTGGTGGAAGTATCATGGTTTGGGCCTGCTTTGCTGTCTCTTGACCAGGACAGCTTGCCATCATTGATGGCACGATGAATTCTGAATTGTAGCAGCAAATTCTACAGGAAAAGGTCAGGGTATCTGTGAACTGAGGCTCAAGAGAAAGTGGGCCATACAGCAAGACAATGACTCAAAACACACAAGTCATACAACCAAAGAATGGTTAAAGCAGAAGAAAGTTCATGTTCTGCAATGGCCAAGTCATTAATTCTGACCTTAATCCTACAGAAATGGATTAAGAAATGGAAGGACTGAGGAGGGCGGAGCTGGCGTCGCGGCGATACGGCGGGGAGGGGCGGGGCGCGCG